ATAGGGCACCTGGGTGGCTCAGTCAGTTAAGCGTCTGACTTCAGCTCAGGTCATGATCTCACAGCTCGTGAGTTTGAGCCCCGCATCGGGCTCTGTGCTGACAGCTTAAGAGCCTGGAGCCTGCTTCAAATTCTATGTCTCCCTCTCTCTCTCTGCTCCTCCCCTGCTCATGCTCTGTCTCTCCTTCAAAAATAAATAAAAACATTAAAAATTTTTAAAAATAAAAATAAAAAATAAAATAATACACATAATGTAGAAGCTAAAAATTTCCAAATATCCCATCAATTTCATTTAGGCAGTATGACCATAGGAATCTTAGTTTTCCTTTTTCCTTTGTGGCTGATTGTTTTTCATGTGTACCTTTCTCAAGATTTTCATATTTTTATCTTTAAACACAGTATAATTCCTGGAAGTCCTCAAATGAAAGCTATAAACCTATATTATCATATAATGAAAATACAGATAAGTTTTATTTAAACATATTATACACTGGCCTACCAACTTTTTAGGTATTTATCCTTTTGTTTCTTATAAAAAGAAACTTGTTTAACTTTTATGAATTATAAAAAGTATATAGCAAAATCAGCAGAATGACTGTAAAACAGGGAACTCCAAATATGGTTATAATCTCCTTTGGCAATTAAAATACATGAGAATTGACAGGAATACTAGGATGTTATTTGAACACAGAAAGATATTCACAGTTAGAAAACACCTGTTCATTCATAACCCTTTCAGACCACAGGTGCTTTGATATTCAAAGCATCTGCTTACAGTGGTGACTCCAATTCCAGAAAAGTCAAGCAGTATTACACTCACAAAGTAATGATAGTAAGAGTACAGAGGTTCCTCAAAAATTTAAAAATACAACTACCATATGATCCAGCAATTCCACTTCTGGATATTTATCTGAAGAAAACAAAATCACTATCTCAAAAAGATATCTACATGCCCAAGTTCACTGCAGCCTTATTTACAATAACCAAGATGGGGTAACAACCTAAGTGTCCACTGATGAATGAATGGATAAAGAAAATGTGTTGTATATATACAATGGAATATTATTCAGCCATTAAAAGAAAGAAAGAAACCCTGCCATCTGCAACAACATGAATGGACCTTGAGGATATTATGCTGAATGAAGTAAGTCAGAAAAAGACAAATACTACATGACCTCACTTATATGTGGAATCTAAAGAACACCCAACTCATAAATACAAATAAAAGATTGGTGGTTGCCAAAGGTAGGGGTTGGGAGTGAAGGGTAGGTGAAATGGTTAAAGATGGCAAAAGGTACAAACTTCTGCTTATAAGATAAGTAAGTCCTGGAGATGTAATACCCAGCATGATGACTATAGTTAACAACACTATGCTGTATATTTGAAAGCCGCTAAGAAAGAGTTCTTAAAAGTTCTCATTACAAGGGGTGGATGCTAACTAAACTTATTTGGTAATCGTTTCTTATATACATATATCAAATCATTATGTTGCACATCTAAAAATAATACTGTATGTCGATCATATCTTAATTTTTAAAAAGGTAATGACAAAAAAAGCCACTTCATATAACAAGTAGTATAAAATAGTCTCAATGAATAGTGAAAAAGTTGTAATGCTCTCAGTGCTGATTTACATAGGATAACTGGACACAAAGTTAGAGGTTGTATCTTTGAACAGGTAACTGCTAAAGGAAAAAAAAGGTCATTTTTCAGCACAAGAATAACAGGTTAATTTTTAGATATACAAAATTTTTACAAAACTGGGCCTCTTGTTTTCTTTATAAAATAATATACCCCATAGGACAAAAACTAGTTTAAGAAGGAATTCATCCACCAGAGGGGGCCCTTACAAAACAGGAAAAATAAAATGTTAACAACAATCAGCAGTATATACAATTCAAGATTAGAATACATCTCACAGAAGTCTATGAATTCCATACAATCACATGTAAATTTTTTGAGTACACTATTTTTCTGAGAAACACAAAATTTTTATCACTGCAATGGGCCCCCAGGCTCATTTGTTCAGGTGCCCGTAAGCTGAACAAATACACAGAAAGAGCTGTGACTAGTCACCCATAGCAAGCCAACTAGAGAAGTAATATTTATCTCGTCCACTCCACTCTGACACCATTCTTTTTTTTTTTTTTTTATAGTTAGCTCTAGGACCACTTTTTTGAAAGTTAGTCATTTATAGTCACTGTCAACCCTAGAACTGTCACCTAACTCTGGACTTAGTGATTATTCCTAGGAAAGCCCATGTCATCACCATGATGTGGCCTCTGTTTTACCTCCTACACTTTAGCTACATAGGAATTTTCTACATGTCATAGTATATCTTAAGACCAGAAAATTTAAATTTAAAAGGAAACAATATCCATTAGTAGCCACACACTAATTAGAAATGTATTAATTTTTTAACATAACATTTATTAAGTACTCAACAAATGTTACATTATCTTATGTAACCCTCACTCACAACAACCTAATGAAGCAAAATACTATTATAATCCCTACTTTACAGATGACGGCAATAAGGCTTAAAAATCTCGCCTTAAATTTTAGTAAAGAACCACCACAAACTACAGGGCTAAGTACTGTGCTATATCACAGATAAGAAAATAACTGAAATTTTTACTGAGATAATTACAGATTCACATACAGTTGTTAAAAACAAAACAAAACAAAACAAAAACAGTTAAAGGGAGACTCCTGGTATACTTTGCCCAATTTCCTGCCATGATAACATTTTGCAAAACTACAATGTAACATCACAAACAGGATACTGATAATAGTACAATTTACCAATCTTGTTTAGTGTTCTAAGGCACTTTTAACCAGCCAATACATCTTTGCTTTTATCTATCAATACTTCTAAATGCTCTATATAAAAACTGTATTTGTTCTCCAATTGTTTTTAACCTCTCTTAACTGATATTCCCTCTAATTTAATCTCTTTATAAAGAATTTTATAGTTTCATACTTTTCTGTAGTTATATGTCTCAACATCCTCATTCTCTTTATATTTGTAAACCTGCTCAGTTCTAGTCTATTTTCTCCAAAGCATGGGCCCTGGGGTCAAGAATCCTGGTATTTTAGTATCAGCTCTACCATGTACTAGCTTAGACAAATCATTTAACCTCTCAACATTTCCCTCATCTTTAAAATGAGAATAATAGTACCCACTTCAACAGTTGCTAAAGATCAAAGTTTTCCTGCAAAGTGTTTGGCTCGGTACATGGCAGAGAGTAAGGCACTACATTTTAACCATTATTTACTATTCCTCACCAAGACTTTTCTAACAGCAAATTTATCCACTGCAACCTCCTTAACATCCTTTACTAGTATATGTCCATTTGTTCACTCAACAAAAATGTACTATTACACATAAACAAGATAAACAGATGAATCAAATATAGAGCTTTTCTTCACATTTGCACAATTACTAAAATTTAAGGTAGACAGCAACAATGCCAAAAAAAAAAGGAGGAAAAAAAGTACAGTTAAAGTTCTATGGCACTTTCGATGGAGGAAGTAGCAAATATCCTGGGTCTTTAAGAGTTCATTCACTCGACAAATAAATGGAAAGATATGGGGAAAGACAGGAAAGAAGTAGGATATAGCATTTCCTAGAATAAGAACATAAGGACAACTAAAGCACCAAGGGGAAAAGGGACATGTATAGGAAACAGAAAGCAGTTCCAGCTGACAGCAGTGGAGGGTAATAAAGGTAAAAAAGACCAAAGACTAGTCAGGGCCAGATCCTGAAAAGCTCTGAATCTAAATCCGGAGTCTAAATTTCATTCTGTCTATAATGAAAAGTCAAAGATTTATGAGTAATGCATGTAAAAAGGATATGAGCAGAAATGTCTACTGTGCCAGTATTTAGAAATCTGCTGCAATTGATCAGGAGGTAGAGAAGCATGAAAAGAAGGTACGAAGGGAAAAATACTAACATATGTGGACCAATGATTTTAAAGTTAATAAAATGTAAAAGAAAAAGTGAAGAAGATTTAGGTTACAAGCCTTAGTTCTGGTAAATGCACTAAAGAATACCAGCTCCCAGACTTCCCTACAAATCACTTATCCATTCTCCTGAATTCCAAGCCACATTTTCTTTAGTAGATTGAATTATTTTTACCTATAGAGTAAAACAAATATCTTACAAGAACATGGTATAGTAACTAATAAACAAAATCAAGAAATCTGGAAGACTCTATGCTGAGCAGGGCAAGAGAATGGGCTACTGACTACATTTGACATATCATAACATGCTTATTAAAAGTAAGATTCAGGATACTATAATTATTCATTCATAAGACAGAAACCAGAATTCCTGTATTCATTTGTTCAGGATATAACCTCAATGTCTAAAACACTGTCTGAAATACTTTTAGCAGCAACAAATATATTTGTTGAACATGTATGTCAATAAGAAAATTTTTAAAGCTATTACATTTTACAAAAGGTTTTCTGTTGGTCTCAATGCTCTGAGGGCTCAACATTCTCTCCTATTCGTCCTCTTACTAAGATGGCCTTCTGTTCATAGAGAAAATAGACAATGATATTGTAATAGCATTGTATGGCAATAGATGGTAGCTATGCTTGTGGTGAGCACAGCAAAAACCATAAAGAAGGTGAATCACCATGCTGCATGCCTGAAACTAACATTATGTGTCAATGACCATGATACTCAAAAAACTTTTTTAATTAAAAATAAAAAATAAAGATAAGCTGTTACTCTTTGAAAAATGTAAATAAACTGCAGCATATTAATTTACTAAAGGTTATAATAACCATTTTAATATTAAATTATTAACCACTAAAGGCCAGATTAACTTAATATATTATCAGACACAAAATAAATGATATCTAATATTCTACACATATTTTTAGATACCTTGCAAGCTACATTTTGCAGGCTGGGAATTCAAAAGCAAATATATTTGTTCCTAGATGGGAAATTTGAATACATTTCCTTACAGAGTTTTATCATCTTACCAGGTCTTTCCTTCCCAGTGCCTTTTGACTCAGCAAATTTTTGTATCAAGCTTTCAACTGTAGTGTTAGCCATGTTATTTATAAATTCTTCATGGACCTATTAAAATGAAATAAAGAAATTTTTTTTCCACTAAAAATTCTTACTATACTTCAGACAAAACTTCCACAAAGAAATTAATATTCATTACACCAAAATATGTGGTTTTTTCGATCCAAAGCCATTGAGAACTTTCATTTACCTAGCATGCTCTTTTACCTCACAGTGTTAGTAAACCCGTGGGTACCAACCACTGTTTACATGAATCCCTCAAGATATAGCTTCCCAACCTTAGAAGTCCAGGGAGTTTCCTGTTCTCATCTTTGAATGTTTTAGACACATAATTCCTAAGACTAAAACTTATACAGATCTCTAATAATTTTTAGATCTTTAATAAAAAATAACAGACTTCATCCTTCTCTATTTCAATGCACTCCAAACTGTCATCATTAAACTGCTTTCATATTTTTGGAAAAAAAATTTTTTTCTTAAAGATTTTCCTAAGTAATCTCTACACCCAATTTGGGCCTTAAAATCACAACCCTGAGATTAAGAACTGAATGCTCCCCCAACTGAGCCAGACAGGCATCCCTATTTTTAGAAAATTTCTAAGCACAAGTTCTATAATTCATTGCTGCTCTAAATTATAAAACAGAAAAACTTAAAATTTTTTTTTAAACTGGTAACTTCAGAGTTTTAATGTAAAAGACTGAGCTACAGTTAATGTTTTTTAATGTTTATATATTTTTGAAAGAGAGAGCATGAGCAGGGAAGGGGCAAACAGAGAGGGACAGGATCTTAAGCAGGCTTTGTGAGAGCCCGATGCAGGTCTCAAATTCATGAATCATGAGATCATGACCTAAGCCAAAGTAGGACACTCAACCAACTGAGCTGCCCAGGTGCCCCAGAGCTATAATTAATTTTAACAATTAATTTGAATTATCATCCTTGGTAGCCAATCAAAAATCCATTTTATTTTATATTTAACACATGTAAGTACATATTCTTTATATGCAATAAGTCAGTATCATATTGAGTTTTGCATTTTTTAAAGAGTCATATATGAACATAAAATTTTCATGAATCTGTTCAACAAAAGGAAAAACTTACCTGGCCTATTTGCAAATGAATTTCCTTTATAGCATTTGACAAGGATTCTATAATTTCCTTTATGTGAATGACATGAGCTTCTTCAATATCTTGAAATTTCTGGGTAACAAATATGAAAAGTTATATATACACACACACACACACACACACACACATATATACACACACATAAAAGAAATATACACTCTCTCTCTCTGAAATCAAAGAACTTTTTTTATATAATTTATTTTTTTAAGTACTCTCTATACCCAATGTGGGGCCTGATTGAACTCATGACCCCACAACCCCAAGATCAAGAGTCACATGCTCTACCAACTGACCCTGAAATCAAAACACCTTTTAAGTCATCTTAATAGAGCTAACCAAATTTAGTGAGTTACCATTATTATGTAATGTTTAACAATACTTCTAGACAAATGGGTCTAGTAAACATAATGAAATGTTTAACTTTTTATTATGTTAATTTTTTGTTATGTCATTTCTCAGGCACATATGAACTTGATTTTGAAGATACCACAAATTAAAATCTAAAATCATGGTCAGAAAATTAGAAGGAGACCTAAATGAGAAGTGTCACAACAGCCAAGCCAAGGTAGAAGTGTTTCAAACCAAAGAGCAATTAGGTGACAGAGCAAAAACTACCGTTTACTTCTGAAGACTTTACAATCTAACCCAAAGACTCTAACAGTATGTTTTTAATCCTTGAAATGTTAACATGTAGCCTTCAAAAGAAGTAATTTATGGTCAAAGAAATATGGAAAAGCCTGTATACTCGATCTCAGCAGTTCTAAACTGAAGGTGGGGATATATCCAATCACCTGGAAAATGTTTTTAAACTACAGAACACATAGATTTTCTACAACTACCTACAGAATGGAAGTGGAAAAAGATGAAAATGTTTTTTGGAAAAATTCCCCGGGTCATTCTGAGTATTTATTCCCCAGGAAGAAAACTTGGCTAGACTTGGCTTCCAACACACAGATTAAAAACCCCGAGAAATACTGAAATAAACATGTTTTCATTTTGCTTAACCCAGTGTTTTCTAAATTTCTTTGACCACACAACCCTTTTTGTTTTTCTTCTTCTCCTAATATCTATTAATATCTCAAAGAACAATAATAATCCTCAAAACAGGATTTGGGAAATGCTGAACTAGCTTTCTTCAAACAAAATATATTTGTCATTTCTACTGCACAAACCTGATTACCCTTATTTTTTTGTTTTTTTGTGGGTTTGTGTGTGTGTGTGTGTGTTTGCCAAATTAAATCAGTTCTAAGAAATAGGCCTAAATGCCATGTCATTTTTCTCTGGTTAGTTTAGCAAATTAAATTCCCTTACCCTATATTATAAAATTTTCTTCAGCAGTGAGTCATAGGACCAGAAAATCACTAAGCCAAATGATCATACATATAAAGGGTCTGAACTTCTCTAAAAAGAATCAATCATGGTGAAATTATAATTTTGGCAATAAGGCAACCCAAATTCACAAACTTAAATCAAGTTTATTCATAAAAATGGCAGAGTTAAAATGTCTTATCTTGACTAATTCTGACCAAATCAATGAGAATATCAATATTTCAAAACTGTGAATTATTCTCTTAGGAAGCAAAGAATATTCAGCAGAAGCATGATTCTTGTTTATGTTCATATTCTAAGAATTTGCCCTCAGCTTAATATTCTGCAATTAATCAGAAATTTTCTCAAGACAGACCCAAATCCAGAAAACCTATGTCAAACATCCACAAGTTTCATATGGATAATCTCTAATTGCAAGAAAAGTATGCCACCTTCTCATTCTCTTTTAAAACAGCTACACTGAATAAGACATATCCTTAATGACTTAAAAATATCTTGAAGTCACACAAAAACTCAAAAGTATGATTCACATTTAGATATTTTGCTGGGTTGTTTTTTGTTTTGTTTTGTTTGTTTTTTTAGGGGGTGGGGAATGTGCTAAATATCGCAACTGCTCAGAATTAGTGACTACTAAACTCAGAGTAATGCAGCAATGGGACTCCTTTTTAGAAGGAAATGTAAACCCTACTAGAGCCTGCTCCTTGCCTATCTCTTTAACCTCACTTCTTACCACTATCTCTCTTCACTTAGTTTTATTAAGCACTCTTTGCTTTCTACAATGTGACAGCTCTTTCATACTTCTGGGTCTTATACCCATGGGGTCCCCAATGCCTGGAACACTCATGCCCTGGAATGCATCCCTTTACTCATTCAAGTCTCAGTTTTAAATCCCACTTCTCCAAAAAGGCCTTTCCTAACTCCCAAATCCAAATTAGGTTGCTCCTATTATTCTATCTCATAGAATCCTTCTTTTCCTTGTAATAGGTATAATAGCTCGTAACTTTATATTTAACCATGTATTTGTTTGCCTCCCTCCTCTATATTGTACACTCCCCCTAGAGCAGGGAGTTACTCATTTCGTTTACATATATACCGTATACACCAGCAATTAGCACAGTGCCTATAATATCGCAAGACAGATGCACATATGCCTGCACACAAGCATGAAAGTCTTTTGATTTCTGAGATGTCTATCAATCATCTCTCCAAGCAGGAAGACTCCCTAGAATCCAAAAAGGCAGATTAATATAAAGTCCTTCTTCACACTTACTGAAGGCCTACCAAGCGCTGGGAAGTATTCTAAATGCTAAGGAAATAATAAATCAATCCCTTTTACCATAGAACTTATCCTTTAGTGGAGGAAGATGAACAATATAAAAAATATAGGTAGAAGAACTAGTGTGCTTCACTACATTCAAATATGATGACTAAGAATAATGTTCTAAGAAGAGGTTCCTTGGGGCGCCCGGGTGGTTCAGTCAATTAAGCATCGGACTTTGGATTTTGGCTCAGGTCATGATTTCATGGTTCATGGGTTCAAGCCCCACATCTGGCTCTATGCTGACAGCATGAAGTCTGCTTGAGATTCCATCTCCCTCTCTCTCTGCCCCTCCCCCACTTGTTTGCGCACTCTCAAAATAATAAACAAAAATAAAAAATAAAAACTACATTTAAAAAAAAAGCTCACCAGCTTCAATACCAGAGTGAAGAAGACACAGAATAGCTACCACCAGCCCATGATGAGTAAGAACATAACAAATAAACCCTTGCCACTGTAAGCACTGAGATGTGGGTTTTTGTCATCTCAGCATACCCAGCCTATCCTGACAAAGTGCTTAGGAGCAAAACAAAACAAGAAAAGAGTACGAGAGAGTGGGAATAGTTTTAGGTATGATTCATAAAAGGCGCCCATCTTAAACCTAGGCTTTTAATTAAGGTTCTAAGAACATCGAATAGGGTATAAATTATCCCAAGTTTATGGGAGACTTTTTTTTAATGGTCTGTTTTCCTCAACTAAAATGGAAGTTCTATGAGAGCAGGGATTCTTGATTCTTTTGTTAACGGCTATATTCTCAGCAGTGAATCATTTCCAGTTCTCTTAAGCAGAAGTCAATTTTAAAATTCATACATGAGGCTAACAATCAGCACTGTCTTCATCATCTACCAATTTCCTCACTTTCCCCAGTTCTCTGTAAACAGCCTTTTCTGCTGTATCTGAATAACCCCTTATCATGTCATAATTATTGCATAATTGCCATAATCATTGGTCCTCGATCTCCAAAATAAGATGTGTATCTTTAAAACGGCATTAAAAAAACATACAGATTGTGTATTTTAACATTTCTAATACTAGAAAATTATATGGCACAAAAATCATTTATTTGTATCAGTAAATGAAATATCCTGTTTTAGATTTAAAGCTTAAAAATACCAACCTGAGCTGTTTCTGTCATTTTCTGTTCAAAATCAGCTTTCGCTAATGCATATTTTTCCACATAAAGTTTATAGGTATCTGTAGCTTTCTTAGATTTAACAGCTGCCTGTAATAAAACAAAAACATTTTTAACTATACAATGACCTGTTTTCTTTCCTGATGTAAGTTCATATGAAATAACTATTTAAATGCATTTTAAGGGGTGAGGCCTATGGTGAGTTCAATAGGACATAAACTAACTTTAACACCTTTTTTCAAGTCCTCATTGGCAATATTTTTTGTTTAGTCACAGAATAACACAGAGATTAAACACTGATTCTCCTTTCTGTCTGACAGAATGGGCTTTGAAAAGTTAAAATACTCTTATTACATAACTTAGGGTAAGATCATATAACCACATTCTAATGTGTTAATAAGAATTCAATGAACAAAATGTGACAATACCATCAGAATATGCTTGACTCTTCCACACCTGTGAGTCTTCCTTCCTCCCACAATACACACATATCCCATTTAATGTCTAATTAATAACTAAAAACATAGCTCAAAAGTTGAGAAAATCAATTTTCTTTGTTTCTCAGTTTCCATTATGCTCTAACAAATCTACAAATTTGTTTTTAATCATTGCCCAGTTTTTCAAGATTTCTATTTTTTTGAGGGGGGGTGGGGGGGCAGAGGGAGAGAGAGAATCTTAAGCAGGCTCCAGGCCCAGCATGGAGCTTGACGTGAGGCTCAATCTCACAAACTGTGAGATCATGACCTGAGCCAAAATCAAGAGATGGATGCTTAATGGACTGAGCCACCCAGACACCCCTTAAGATTTCTATTTCTAAAAAGTTGTTATTACATTATTATAGCTCTAGTTTTATCAAAGTTACTTACTCAATAAAAACTTGATATATTAAATATTAGGCAGTGAAGAATATGAAGATAAATTACACAGGGATCTTTTCCTCAAGGACTTCATAAAAGTAGTAGAACCTATTTTTACCTAGAAATCAGTAGAAAGCAACAAAGCCACAGAAGTAAAGATAAATGCTATAGAAGGCAGACATTCAGGAAAAAGAAAGATTATGTATAACTTGTAGGGTGGAGCAGACATATGGCTATCAAGAAACAACCATTCTCAAAGGACTGATCAATTTGGACATGGGAAGTCTGGGAGAAGATCAAAAAAGGAGAAGATAAGGATTTCAAGATACAAATATCTTGATGAATTTTCTTGATGAATTAAGAGATTGTCTGTTAAGAGGAGGAACTGAGGCACCTGGTTGGCTCATTCTGTTGAGCGTCTGACTCTTGATTTCAGCTCAGGTCATGATCCCAGGGTTATGGGATCAAGCCCTGCATCGGGCTCTGCACTGACTTTGGAGCCTGCTTAAGACTCTCTCTCTCCCGCTGTTCCTCTCCCCCATTGGCACGCTCTCTCTAAATAAAATTTTTAAAAATTTTTTCAAAAAAAAAAAGAGTGGGGAAAAGTAGAGTAGGATACGGCTGAGAGCTTCAAGAAAACAAACAAACAAAAAAATTCACACCAGCGTTGTGGAAGATACAACAGGTAATAACTAGATGAGTACAAGTATTACTAAGAGCCACTGAGGGCTAAGCAAAGCTGGAAAACATGGAAATTGTATGAAGTTAATCTGAATCAACATGAAATTATCTCCTACTATGTTCAAGAATAAGGATTAGAAACAGAAAGTTGGGTTTACCTGGAGGTTTGGGACTGCCAAGAGATGTAGACAGTCCTACTCTCTAAAAAGGGCCCAATGTATGCTCCTTAAATTATGGCATCATACATTATATTAAAGACAGATGCTCCATGCTTTCCTGCATTCTTAAATAAATAATATAGGATGCCACTTTATCTTGTAGCATACAGAAAACTGGTTTTGGAGCAAGAAGACTCTGTCTTGGAGCTTTATGTAGTTCTCTCATTCCTAAAATGGGAAGAATACCACCTAGTTTTTAAAAGCTTTGGCAGTGATGAAATGTAACTTATGTAAAATGAGTGGGACAGGGTCTGGCATATAGTTAAATCTACAAAATAAACAGTATTTGCTACTATTATGATTTCTAAAAGTTAATACCAGTAGGAAGATATATCATTGTAAATTTTATGGTTATTGTATCTAGTAGTTGTACTTAGTTCTCCACCCCTAGAGTAAGTAGTTAAAGCCTATAATGATTTTCTAGTTTGCTTTATGAGTGCTGTTGTGTTTTTTTTTTTGTTTTTTTTTGTTTTGTTTTGTTTTGTTTTGCCCTTTTCCCATTGTCTCAGGCCATTTGACATTAATTATACTATGGTCAGTATAGTTGCTGTAACATCCTGGCCTTGCTCAAACACGTAACAATTAAATGACATAGATATTTAAAATTTACTAAGTATGTTTACAGGAAGCCCAGATTTAAGAAAACATTTCAATGGTGTGATTATCCGAATTTCCTTTGGATCTTTTTAATACCAACAGACTTCTGTCTCTTCTTCCAGCTACCTAAAGTTTCAGTGTGTGCAAGAATAATGAGCAACTTACAGTCCGTGGAGTGATTTTCAATGACAGAGTTTAGCAAAATAATGTAGTCTCATTGGCAGCCCCTTCTTCTTTGCTTGTTCCTTATCCTAACACCTATTCCTATTTTCTGTTGCCTATTAAGTTACTGCCTAACAATTTATGTGCTAGCTACACAGAAAGACCTGAGTTGTGATCACTCCTAGAGATATATGCAATTTGAAAAAACAAATCATAAAAATGGAAAATTTCCCCAAATATGACTACAATGATTGTGTCTATACTTTTAAAAAGTAATTTATTTCATGAGATCTTCCTGTTTTCTTTTTTACAGGTTCTGTACAAAATAGGTCACTCTGCCCTTTCTAAACTTACCATTAAAACCTCTAACCTCTTGCTCTGCACTATTCAATATGTTTTGGCTCCCCCAAAAGAAGGAAGTTTCTTGAATACAGAAGGAGGGAATATGTATTTTAGCCTTTAATAAACTTCATAACATCTAGCATAATGACAGGCACATGGTAGGAACTAAAACATTTACCTAAAACATCACCTACCTACTGCACGCATATTATCACTTTATAATGCAACAATCAGAAAAATGTGAGGGGCGCCTGTGTGGCTCAATGGGTTAAGCGTCTGACTTTGGCTCAGGTCATAAACTCAAAGTTCCTGAGTTCAAGGCCAGCATCGGGCTCCCTGCTGCCAGTGCAGAGCTCACTTTGGATCCTCTGTCTCCCTCTCTCTCTGCCCCTCCCCAGCATGCACGCTGTCTCGCTCTCAAAAATAAGTGAACATTAAAAATATATACATGTATTTGAATAAGCCACTTAAAAAGCCAAGAACTTAATCTTTAGCCTGTATTTAAAATAAAATAAACTTTATTGTATTAAGAACAGGAAAAATTCAAATAATATTTTGCTATAATGATTATTTTTCCAAGTAAACATATATGCTGTGTTGCAAAAATATAATGATAGTGTCTCACACACAAGAAATTTATAATCTAACAGAAATAAAAGATCACTGCATGGGGGTCAATTCCTGCTTTAGAAGATCTATCATATTTCTACAATGTAAACAAAGCAATTATTTTACATTATTCATTACACTTATGGGACTTTAAGAGATGGAAAGAAGTTCCTGGAGCATCATTTCCTCTTCCTAAACTCAGTCTCTAGAATTCAAACTAGTTTTGGTACTCAAATTTTTACTGAGTCGACAGAGTTAGCAATAATTAATTTTAAAAGTTTAAACCATCATACTTAACTTTCTTTTTTCCTCCCAGAATATTCTCACTGTAAATCTTGGTCTAGCTATTCAACTCAGCATACTAACTTCTTTGTCCATTATTTCCAACCATAATATTATTATCTTCAATCTCAAAAGTTCAGACCAGGATCTAATTCAGGATGTAAACAGATAAGTCTTTTGGAGCCTACTTTCTGATACCAGGAAGCTGTGTAAAATTTCACTTCTCTTATTTGGAGGCATGAAGGAAGAGAGAAGATAGCCTTTAAAGTTCTAACTTTTTTTTTTACATCAGCCCTCACTCTTCAAAGGTAAAAATAATATACCACAATCTTAAGGAAATTATATACCAACTTAAAGAAGTATCCCAGAAAACCAACAAAAGCAGTACTTAATCATAAAGGAATAAAATGAAAAAAGAAACTGTTGACTCATAAAGTATTTTAAGTAATGACAAAAACAAATTTAAAGAAAAATAAGGGTATTATATAAAAATATGTACAAGCAACTTTAGAATGTAATTGTACTAGGAACACCTTATTGTTTTTAAATTTTTTTTAATGTTTATTCATTTTTGAGAGACAGACAGAGAGACAGAGCATGAATGGAGCAAGGGCAGAGAGAGAGACACAGACACACAGAATCTGAAGCAGGCTCAAGGCTCTGAGCTGTCAGCAAAGAGCCCGAGGCGGGGCTTGAACCCAGAAGCTGTGAGATCATGACCTGAACCAAAGTCAACGCCTAACAACTGAGCCACCCAGGTGCCCCTTTACTTTTTTTTTTTTAAAGCAAGAAAGAGTACTCATAGGAAACAACTATATAGCAGTACGTAGTTAAGTCAAAACAACTTTCTAAATAGCGTATATATATATCTATATATATATAGATATATCTATATATATACACACACATACTTAGAAATGCTGTAAATTCTAGGGTAGAATTATAAAAACTGAGTATCCTAGTAGTAATGAACTTGACAAGTTTCATAAAGTCATTATTAAAAAGGGAAGTTGGAACATTCTTAAATGAGGAAATTATGCTTTAAAAAAAAAAGCCACATTTCTTCTCACAAATAAAAGATTGGCTTTAACACATTACCTATTGATAATAAAACAAATCCTACATTGTATTGATTTCCTTAGCATTATAAATAAATTTACTGATATACTACAAGAAATATTTAAGTGCCTATAATTTTTATAGTAAAATCCTAAGAAGCAAATATGCACATATGAATTAAGTCATATTTACTCATAGTCCACAAATGAGTGCCTTCTAAATAGTGTTTTATAAAAAATTAAGAGCTTTTAAGTGAAAATCAGAAGTATACTATGTCATAATAGCCGTAAGTATTTGTTTTCAAATTTATTAAAGGAAAATGGTTCAAAGATTTAGGTTTTTAAAAATCTATATTCATGTTAATGAAAAGCTTCTTATTACAGGTCAAAATTAATGATTTACTTAAACTTGTATTTGAACATATATAAATCAGACACCTACTAACACATTTAGTACCACAAGCAAAGATACCACCTCTGAGCAAAACAATGAGAAAAAGGCACCCCTTCTCTGTGGGTCCATGCCACAAGACAAGTGAAGCACAGACCACCAACTCACAACCCTTGGACACAACTGTATGCTACCATATGTTAATCAAAAAGAAATCTTTTAATTTAATCTAAATCATTACCTTATATGAAGCCTTTTTTGGTTTATATCAAAAGATTCAGACAATCATTTCTTTAAGCATAATCTCTAGTTACCATACATTTTTCAAGTGGTCAGTACACACTAGGTACTATGTTAAACCCACTGGGTTTCATAAAAAAAAAAAAAAAAAAAAAAAAAAAAAAAAAAAAAAAAAAAAGCAAAGAGCAGTATTTAGCCTAGGAGTACCTTAACCCTCTGGAAAATTTCAACTAACTGAGATAGTACACTTTTGCATTAATTATATGGAATCCATACCAATGTATTGACCTGTATGTTATAGTACGTACTGTAAGGAACTATTCCTAGAGCTCACATTTTAAAAAATAATTATCTTAGGGGCACCTGGGTGGCTCAGTTGGTTGAGCATCCAACTTTGGCTCAGGTCATGATCACATGGGCTGTGAGTTCGAGCCCTGCGTTGGCTCTGTGCTGACAGCTCAGAGCCTGGAGCCTGCTTCTGATTCTGTCTCCCCACTCTCTACCCCTCCACCACTCATGCTCTGTCTCTCTCAAAATCTAAATAAACATAAAAAAAAATAAAAATAAATAAAAAATAACTCTTTTAGTTTGAACCACAGTTGGCTTGGGGTACCTGGGTAGCTTAGTGGTTAAGCATCTGCCTCTGGATTTCGGCTGAGGTCATGATCTTATAGTCCTGAGATCAAGCCCCATGTCCAGCTCTATGCTAACAGTGCAGAACCTGCTTAGGATTCTCCCTCCCTCCCTCCCTCCCTCCCTCTCCCTCCCTCCCTCCCTCTCTCGCTCTCTGCTCCACCCCTCCTCACTCTCACTCTCTCAAAATAAACAAACTTAAAAAAAATAAAATGAAATGAAATATAATTGGCTTTATACTATCTTTGTTCCTATCTTTTTTATTTTTTGGAAAAAAATTAATTATTACATAGACAAAGGGAGCCCCCTGCCCTTACCAAGCCCATTCCCCACTTGCTCTGCAAAGGTAACTCCCAATATGTGGCACAGTGTTTACTGTCCCTATGTATGTCCCTAATATAGTTAATTATACTTCAAGGCTTGTTTGTTTCTTTTTTGTTTGAGGGTTTTTGTTTTTTGTTTTTTGTTTTTGTTTTTGGGTTGTTTTTTTTTTGCAGAAAATTAAAGACTATGTAAAAGGCATCAAAATATACATATTCTTCTGGAACTTTGCTTTTCTTGCTCAATATTATACTTTTTAGATTCACCCAAGTCAATGTTAATTCATGTCATTCTAGCTCACTTTTTTTTCTTTTTGGCTTTTATGATAAACATTTTAAAGCACACAAAAGAAGTGTAATGTACTCCATTAACCTATCACATAACTTCAAGATTCCATCCATTCTTCCCTCTCCAACATTTTTTTTTTGCTAGAATATTTTAAATCCCAGATCTACTATTTTACCCTATATAATTTACTTGAACTGAATAGTCCCATTATATAAAAATGTCTTCTGTTGCTAAACACTAACAGTGTTTTAAATAATAATTTTTTTCAATTTGAAAATCAAACTATTATTAGAAGTCTAATTCATTTATACATATTATGGTTTAGGTATATTTGACCTTCTTCCAACTTATGTTGATCTTTCTGCCTACCATTCTTTTTTTCCCACATCCTCCTTCCTTTCCTTATCAATAAATTTTAATATCTTTTCTTTTTGCCATTTTTAAAAGATTTAAAATATACTTCAGTCCTTTTAGAAGTTATGTTTAATGTACACAGTCAATTACTACTAACTCTAACAGACCATTAACTTATAAAATACATCATCCTCTTGTGTACCATTAAAATAGAAAAATGCTATCAACTAAAGCATAAAATAATGCTTTCTTATCACTTAAAATTCTAATTTTATGTTTCAAGACAGAGTACACCCGAGCAAGTAGGGGAGAAACAGAGGGAGAGAGAGAAAGAATCCCAAGCAGGCTCCACATGCAGCACAGAGCCTGATGGGGTGCTCAATCCCACAAATGTGATATCATGACCTGAGCCAAAATCAAGAGCTGGATGCTCAACTGACTGAGCCAACCAGGCACCCCTAATTTTATGCTTTTAAAAGAGCTCTTTTAGACTTACTTAGGGGTACATTTTTATTCTATTACCACTCCTATGTGATACAGAATAAAAAGGAAGGCAAAAAGAATTAATTCTCTTGACATACTCCTAAATCTTCCTCATATTCAGATTTTGACCCTTCTCACTTGTTTTCCACTTGGGAGATTGCTGAGGTCTGTTTTTTCCCCATACAACATTATCCTCAATATCATCAAGATCATTATTGATATAGCACTTCTTAAAAATGCTCCATTATTATCTCCCAGTTTCTTCTAAACACTGGTGCTCACATTTTCTTAATCTTACCAGGTCTCAACAAATGATTTTCAGTCAATACCAAAACAATTCCTTCCTCAAATGGTCTTAAGATATTCATCATATTAAGTTGTACTTAAGTTGTACATCAAAATATTGCAGTTGTCCAATCATGCCACCAGGTACTATAACCAAGTTCACATAGGCAATAAAACTACACACAAAAGCCACCTCACCAACAGCAATTATATGATATCATCAATTGAAGATGTATTCTGACTTCAAAGATGTGAGAAAACAAGAAATAGCTGGTAGCTTTTTTTCTCGTGCCTAGGTCTGCACAGACCTTTATGTAACTTGCTTAATACCAAGAATGTACTTTCAATCTGGGGACTCTTTTTTTTTTTCTTTATATTTATACAGGCACATTTATTTTTTGTAAGTTTTTAATTCTAATTAACATGCAGTATTATATTAATCTGGGACTGCTGAATTTCTTCAGGTATGAAAAACTGAGCTATTAACTCTTCAAATATTACTAGACCACCATTCTTTCCATTTTTCTCCTGGAATTCACATTAGATGAATGTTGGTAACCTTTACTTCTCTGTGTTATGGTGAATTCCCTCAGTACCATCTTCCAAATTCAGTCTCTGACTATATCAAGTTTAAAATCTGTCTTCTCTAGTACTTTTTTTCAATAACCATATTCATTTTCAAGTTTTGTAATTAGCTGTTTTCCTATCTAGTAAATCTTATTCCATTATGACTTTATATTTCTTAATCTTATTTAATATCTTATATTCACTTTTCTCACTGAACATCCTCAACCACATAACATTTTGTTCTTTTGTTTTATAAATTTAAATTATATCCGCAGAGAATTCTTTTTTCTAATTGTTAAATTTATTGCTGTCTTAGTGTCAGATTTCTTAGATGGGCTTTAGAATTTGGTTATTCGTTCATTTCCTCTTCTCTTTTTCTCTCTCCCTCCACAAGTGCTGTGTGACAGTTCCAGAGAATACAATGCATATGTTACCACCTAGAATTGTGTTATGTTCTATCCTTTGTGCCCACCCATCCCCACCAACAGTTTTCAGATTACCTCATGGCAGCTCTCCAAGGGCCCAATTTAGTCTTATCAAGTCTTACTTCCTTGGAAGAATATTGGGAATATGGCTAAAATAGTCATTAAATGGTTCCTTAGCTTGATTCGCACTCAAAATTGTGTCCATAAGTTCCCATCTTCCAATAAAGCTTTAGCCCTAGCCAGCAGCCCAAGAGTCTTCTTCTTTCCTACCTATATAGCTTCACCCAGTGAGTGGGCTCCTTGTGCTTTACTGCAAATGGGGAACACACAGTCCCCTTTAGCACACAAGAGCTTGAAGTGCAACAAACCTGCAAAATCAATCTCTACAGGCCATTTTGGGTATCTGTCCCATTTCTGGTTCATAGAGATATTATTATTCTTTTTTGGACCCTGTTATTTTGTTTTCCCTTCTTGTATTTTATTCGTAATTGCTGTTGTCTGGAATGGTCTTTTAAACTAGTAACTTACTCTTATTCTTATCGCCCTCCCAATTTTTATTTGTTACACATACATTAAAGGAAATCAGTTATGCCAAATTCCATCAACTGTTTTGATTTTTCCATATTCTCTTCTAGTTTCTGCCCATGTATGTACACTTTTATAATTATTATAATTGCTATAATATAGTTATAATTTGGTTTTCTTTTTTTACTGGATATTTCAAATACTTTAAAAAGCTTTCAAAATTATCACTCCCTATGGCTCATTCCTAAATGAGATACAACACATCAAACAAGTGAATGGTTAAACTGTTTTGAAAGGGGGAAAAATCTACTTTCAATTAAAATGCGAGTGGGGGAAAGGGTTGTGGTTTACCGCACTACCTCATAAATGTCTTCAAAGTCAGCAATAAATCACCCACAACACATATTTTAAAGCTTATCTTCAAGTATCTATGCCTTTCTAAATATACCACTCTTGCCTCAAAAAAAATTTTACCTCACTGTTAAACCTGACACCAAGCAGTATCTTATCAATTATCTTATAAAAATATCTTACAAATGTCAATGACATAGATATCATTCCTTTTTAAGTATTTGCTAGTCTATTTACTATACACAACATATTCTGCAAACCCAGTTCTGTTTCACTTAGGTAAATCACTAACACTCAGTGTCACAGTGTCTTCATCTTTAATATGAGGTCATTCTTAAGTGTCTGAAGATCAAATGCAGTCTTATGTTTGAAAGTGCTTTGAAACCACAGAGATATTATTTTTTATTACAATTACCTTTTCTATTTCTCTTTGTGTAGCTCCTTCCTTTTTCAAACGTTCTTGTTCTACACACTTGGCATTGTAATTTTCCTTGGATTTCTGAAGGGCCTGAGTTATGCTCTGAATGGCTTGAACAGCTTCCAGAGTTCCTGCAACCTCTTCTTTAGTCTGTATGGTATGAAATGATTCATCAAAATGATCAAACTGTAAAGCACTCAATATCTGATCGATCAATCCTTTAGCAGGAAAAAAGTGATACCTTTTTATGAGATTTTACTTGTTCTTCTCCATACTTCTGAACTTCCTTTATTAATTCTTGTAATTTTCTAACAAGATCCAAGTGACAGTTTGCTAATTTCTCTGTAGATGTTTTGAACACATCCCACACTGGTGCAAATGTTCTAAGGGAAAGAAAGTACAGGAATTATTTAATAAAAGAAAAAAAAAGTTTAAGGCTCCAAAACAGAACCAACAGAAACAATACTATGTTCAGCAATTTTAATTATGCAAAATAGGAAATTAAAATAAATCATAAATGAAATGATTGGCAGACTGATGCTGATTTTTTAATCCGTGGTTAATTAAAATATTTTTGGACCTCAGTCGGGTACACAGAAATCAGTTAAATATTTATCAGAGGTCTGGCCATGGCTCTCTATTAACCATATCATACTATTTTCTGAGTTGATTTGGTTAGACTTGTCTATTATAAAATTAACTTGTTTCCAAATTTTAATTTTTGACTACTTAGTGTTCATCTAAAATGTCTCATCAAAAATAAAAGTTCCTCTGGGACACCTAGGTGGCTCAGTTGGTTAAGCTTCTGACTTCAGCTCAGGTCATGATCTCACCTATTATGGATTCGGGCCCCATGTCAGGCTCTGTGCTGACAGCTCAGCGCCTGAAGCCTGCTTCGGATTCTGTGTCTCCCTCTCTCTCTGCCCCTTCCCCATTCGTGCTGTTTCTCTCTCACACACACAAATAAACATTAATAAAAAAAATTTTAATAAACAAAAGTTCCTTTGATTTCAAACACGCAAAAGTCAAATTCACAGGATTTTTTAAGATTAGTCACCTTAATAATCATTTGAAAATATTTTAGAACTGTTAACCTGAAATCTTATTTCAGATAATTTTATCTGCATACTTTAAAAGACACTAACACAGTCCCTTTCTAGTACAGGATACGTGATGCAAGACATACTTTCCTACCACTTTTTCTCAATACTGAGAATTTAGTATTTTCAGTACATTCAAGTATGTCCAAAAGTTACTACATTATTGCATCCTGGATAGTACAGTATTTAGGATGTCAATGGTTAGCTTAAACCAATTTAGTCAATAAGGAATGATCTACAGATAATTTTACCCTATGTTTTCCTCAAGTACTTCCTAAGATATTTTCAACAGCACCTGTTCTACTCTATGACAAAACTTCTAGAAAACAAATAGCAGCACACAGCAAGAGGGTAAAGAAATAAATTACTTATCCTATTATGTACATTTCCTACCAATTATTACATTTCAAATTATTACATTTCCTATCCAGTAGGAATGCTAACACATAATGATCATTTTAAGCAATAATAAAAAAGTTCAAACAGGAAAATTAACATGCTTAGAATAAGGCTGTTCCGATTAGATTTCAACTTAAACTTTAAAATCTAATCAGCTGGCAAGGAGTTAAAAGGAGGAGTTTGAGAATAAAAATAGACAACTGAAAATTATCCACTCACTACAGTACCAAAATACATATATATCACTTCATGTAAACCTGATACATGGTAGTCCGGACTGGACAAAGCAGAAAGATGGGAGTGTACCTTTACCAAAGGATTCTTTACACTGTAAAGGGGTTCAACATAAGATTTCTTTAAATACAGGTTTCCTTAAGGAATGTCAAATTTCTTTACATTTTAAAAGTCTGATATACAAACCTTTTTTTCTGGTCAAGTAATATATATTAATATATAATAAGCAGTAAGAAAGAAAACTGACAAGTCCAAAGTATTTTTAAATGCAAAAAAAATAAAGAGAAAATTCAAATGCTTAAATATCCATCAGTAAAATATTAATATTTAAAATATTTATGATCTTAAGTAATGACACTAACACATAAAATGTCATCTATTATTTATGGGAAGCACACATTCCAAAGACAGAAATGTTGTCAATATCTTATCCAGAAACACAGTTGAAGTTAATTCATGTTTTTTTATCTCCCACCTGACAACTAAAAATAGGGCAGAATTTCCTATAATAAAACCACAACCAACTGTTTAAAGCCAGCTTCTGCTATTCCAGTTACTTTCTAGCCCTTCTACAATGGTAAATAAATAAATAATGTTTTAGAAGCATGTCAACATAAAGGCTTTAGAAAAAGGAAGCTGCCAGAAAAGTGATGTATCAAGGGAGTGGGGGGTGGGAGAAAGAATTGGAAGACAACTGGAAGAAAAACAACACTAGATGGTCATCAACTAACAGTCCCCACTCTCCTCTGGGTGAAAAAGGTAGCAGCTCCCCAGCCTTTCTAGCCATAGTACAGGGCTACAGAAGGTCCTCTTAGCTGCAACTATCAACACTTAATATAATGGACAGTGTCACCATGATGAGGATCAACTGAGAGTACAACTCTCTACCTAGGCCACAATTTAGCAAGATTTTCATTTAAACTCATTCAACCACAGAAAAGAATATTTTCATTCTTAACCAGTTTTTTGGTTCAGGGAACCGTTTGTGAATCTAATAGATGGTATAAACCCTCTTCATCAAGCACTGGGTGTTGTATGGAAACCAATTTGACAATAAATATCATATATTGAAAAAAACCCTCTTCATCAAAAATATGAACTAATACCTATTAAAATTTCAGGGGATTCACAGGTGAATTACTTGTTAAATTATCTTAAAGTATAGCCTTTCCCCAATTCTTAGATAATTAAAAAAGATTAAATATTCCTCCCAGGGTTTTTGTGGTATAAATTATACAATATCTCCTCCCAGAACTACTAAAGCCATGTAGCGTATCTTATCTAAAATGAATTCTTATTTTATTTTATTTTTTTTAAGTTTATTTATTTTTGAGAGGGAGAGAGAGAGAGAGCACAAGCAGGGGAAGGGCAGAAAGAGAGAGAGACACAGAATTTGAAGCAGGACCCAGGCTGTGAGCTGTCAGCAAAGAGCCTGACACAGGGCTTGAACTCACGAAATGTGAGATCATGACCTGAGCCATAGTCGGGACTTAACTGATTGAGCCACCTATGCACCCCTAAAATGTATTCTTAATATTCATTTTTCAAAGAACACATTTTCTCACCACAAATTTTTAAGAGAAATATTTAATAGTCTATAAAATCATGAGACCTTTTTAATAAATTTTAATCATTTCAGTCAAGTTTAAGTGAGTTTGTAAAGATCGCTATTCAACATAATTTAAGTGAACTTACAGAAAACTAGAATAACCATGCACAATACATAACATGTATGATCTCAAAATTATACTACCAAATGACTAGGTAGTTAAATAAAGGGGGAAAATGGGTTTCATTTACTTAGACTGCATTAACTGATTAGTTCAATTCTATTTTCTATTAAGTCAAGAATATATTCATATATAAAAACATTTTTCAGTACATTATATATTATTATATTTACCAACAATTAATCTTCAATAAGAACCTAACATTCTCAAGAACTGTACCTAAATCAACATTGAAAAAGAGTTTTTCAAAGACATTAACTCACCCAAGCTGTGAATAGTTGCTTGCGGATTTTGCTAGTTTTGTCATTGACCTGGAGTATGCTTCTTCTATTGTAGCTCTGTTAAATCAAATTTCCGTATGATAAGAGCTCTCAAACACAGAAAAATTATCAAAATACAATTAAAACTGTATAAACAAAAAACTCAAATATATATTAAAAATAAGTAGGTACTGGAGCACCTGGGTGGCTCAGTCGGTAGAATATTCTATTCCTGATCTTGGGGTTGTGAGTTCAAGCCCCATGTTGGGCACAGAGCTTACTTAAAAATAAACAAATACGTGGTCATAAATTTCAGACCTATCCTTAAATGCCCTTTGAACACATATATTTAAAGAACTGGTCTGGTATAGAACTAAAAAAATTTGTATCCCAAAAATTAAATGAAATCATTACTCTTTTTATTTTAACGTATCAGTGGTTATATGAACGACAAATACAACAGCACTGCTTCTTGACTGTCTCTCTTTATTTCTCTGTAAACTAATTCAGTGTGAAAGTCATTTGCACTTAATACTTCTCTAGTATAGTTAATATAGATTTATTATTCTTTAATACTGTGATTTCACTATTATGCACATTTAATAGAACAAAAGATTGATGACTGTCATTTGGACAAGCCAAACATAAGTTATCAAGGCTTAATCTATTTTGTGATTAAATCTAAAACACTAATAAATAAGTATTTCACGCTAAAAAACTGTGTTTTATGGGGCACCTGGGTGGCTCAGACAGTTAAGCGTCTGACTTCAGCTCAGGTCATTATCTCCAGTTCATGAGTTCAAGCCCCACGTCAGGCTCTGTGCTGACAGCTGGATCCTGGGGCCTGCTTCAGATTTTGTGTCTCCCCCTCTCTCTGCCCCTCTCACACTCTGTCTCTGCCTCTCAATAATAAATAAACGTTAAAAAAAAATTGTTTTAAACACTGTGTTTTATATAACCACTAATTTAGCATATAGGATTTTAGGCTTTAAAAAAAATCAACCAAACCATTAAATATGGAAGAAAACAATTATTCCCTTAAACACATAATCTCAAATACAAAATATGAGACTGTATTGGCCTTCTTAACACTAGAAAAGTTAAGTTTTGTCTTATCTCTCCCACAATTACCCTGTCCCTTCTCTATCTATGCAACCTGTAACAGTGAGATAATCTACAAAACACCAAAGACCTTCCATCTACTTTGACAGGTTCAACTAACTTTTTTTTTTAAATGTTTATTTACTTTGAGAGAGAGAGTGAAAGCAGGGAAGGGACAGAGAGAGGAGAGAATCTCAAGCAAGTTCTGCCCCATCAGTGCAGAGCTTGACATGCAGCTTGAACTCACAAACTGTGAGATCTTGACCTGAGCTGAAACTAAAAGTCAGTCACTTAACCGAATGAGTTGCCCAGGTGCCCTGAAACTTTCTGCTTTTAATGTCCAAATCCAGATCTCCACACTGTTCTTACATCAAACCATCAATTTAATATCTAAATGTCTCAAGCATAACCCTACTTAGGTACCTTAATCCCCTCAAACTCAGAATATTCAAACTAAGCTTATCTTCAAACTCTTCCCCAGCGCCCTGCTCACAAAAACCAGCTAACAAAAAGGAACTATTATTAGTAATTGCCTCTCACTGATGGGACTGTGACTTTTTTTTTTTCTCATTTAAACTTCTGTGTGTCTTTTTAATATACTATATCACAGGGGCGGTACTTTGATCATCTAAAAAGAGTTAATACAGAAAAAAAATATTACTATCTCAATGGATAAGTTCAAGAGCACAAAAAAGTGATTCAATCTCCAGCAATAGTAAACTGATACAAAAAAACCTCCTGATGAGGAAAGCCAGAAAAATATGGAGAAAGGGGGCTAAAAGGCAACAGAAGCTAAGGAGGCAGTTAAGACTCAGTAAGCCAATAGGGCCCCTGGGTGGCTCAGTCAGTTAAGCGTCCAACTTTGGTTCAGGTCATGATCTCATGGTTTGTGGAGTTCGAGCCCCCTGCGTCGGGCTCTGTGCTGACAGCTCAGAGCCTGAAGCCTGCTTCAGATTCTGTGTCTCCCTCTCTCTCTGCCCCTCCCCACTCACACTTTCTCTCTCTCTCCCTAAAATAAATAAACATTTAAAAAAATAAAAAGAGCAATGAGTAAGCCAAGATTTAAGAGAAGGCTATCCGGAAGTCAGTCAGATATGTCGGTCAGCTTTTCCCTGGGGGGCATCTAGAAGCAGCAGCTGAGACTGAGAAGTGGAGCAGAGTTGAAAAACTCTCACAGAGCAAGGGAGACAAAACTAGATTGAGACTCGCCAAAGATGTTAAGCAAGGGAAATCCCATACCCTTTGAGACTCAAAGAGTAAGGATGAATGTTTAGTAGGCAAGTTCTCGAAGGGACTGCAAACCATACCTTTTCAAACCTTGATACTGGATCCTGTATGGATGTCTTAACATACATTCATAAAACCATCAGGCAAATATGACAAATGAACGAAAACCAGGAGGAACAAATGAGCAATGTTTCAAATGCTGAGATTACAAAGCTTGGACTTTATGAGTTTATGTATTATGTTCAAGGAGACAGTACATTAAATCAAAAATTTCAATAGAGAAACGGAAATCATTTTTAAAAAGTAAAGGAAATCATAGCAAATTTGAAAACAGATACAAATTCTGTATCTGAAAAATGTAATATCAAAAATTAGTATCTCAATGGATGGGGTTAAACAGCAGATTCAATACACTATAATGAGTATAAATAAACCAGAAGAGGGATGAGAAGACTCTATCTTGGTATAAAGCTCAGAGAGACAAAAGAATGGAAAACAGAAGAGAAATAGAAGAATGGAAAACAGAAGGACAAAGGACAAAGTAAAAAACTCTAACATATGTGTAAAGGGGAAAAAATGGGTCAGAAGAAATTATTTTCAGAGATAATAACGGAAAATTTTCCAAAACTGACAAAAGGTTTCAAACCACAGATCCAAGTAGCCCAACAAACCCTAAGAGGATAAATAAAAAGATATGTACATCTCATCACATAGTAAAACTACATCTACACCTAGTCATAGTAAAACTGCTGAAAATTAAAGACTAAAAGATTTTAAAAGCAGCTAAACACTTCCAACCACTGAATGTTACCTCTAAAGAAGCAATAATCACTGATAGCTGACATCTCAACAGTAGATACTAGAATGATCTTCAATTTTTTTTAAAATCCAGTGAAACACAAAACTGAAACTCCTAGGAAAAGCATAAGAAAACCTAAGAAGACCTTGGGTATGATGTCTTAGGTACTGTCTTTTTAGATAAAATCTATGACAAAAATCAATGATAAGGTGGACTTCATTAAAATTAAAAACTTTTGCTCTGTGAAAGACAATGTCAAGAGAAAGAAGTCATAGGCTGGGAGAAACTATTGGCAAAAGACACCATGTGAAAAAGGACTGTTATCTCAAATACACAAAGAACTCTTAGAATAACATGATTAAAAAATGGGCCACAGACCTTAACAGACATCTCCCTAAAAAAAGATATACAGGTGGCAAATAAGCATATGAAAATATGCTAGAGATCATGTCATCAGGAAAATATAAATTAAAACAAGATATGACTACATACCTATTAGAAGGACTGAAGTCTGAACCACTGAGAAAACCAAATACTGGCAAGGATGTGGAGCAAAGGAATTCTCATTCATTGCTGACAGAAATGCAAAATGATACAGCCACTTTGGAAGACAGTTTGAGGGTTACTTATGAAACTTAACATACTCTTACTATATAATCCAGCAATGGAGCTCCTTGGTATCCACCCAAAGGAGTTGGAAACTTAAGTTTACACACAAAACCCGCACACAGATGCTTACAGCAGCTTTATTCATTACTGCCAAAACTTGGAAGCAAACAAGATATCCTTTAGTGGGTAAATGGATAAACTATGATACATCCAAACAATGGAATATTATGCAGTACTAAAGAGAAATGAGCTACTAAGCCATGAAAAGACAGAAGCACTTTAAATGCATATTCCTAAGTGAAAGAAGCCAATCTGAAAAGTCTATTACACACTGTCTGATTTCAACTATATAACATCTAGAAAAGGCCAAACTATGAAAACAATACAAAAGAATGCAAAGAATTCTTAGCAAAGTCATAAATTCACAAATTCTACATAATACTGTAATGATGGATCTATGCCATTATCATGTGTCCAACCCATATAATGTACAATACCAAGAGTGAACCCCACGGTAAAAAAATGGACTTTGGGTGATTATGATGTGTCAATGCAGGTTCATCCTTGGTAAAAAATGTACCATTCTAGGGGATGGTGGGGAAATGGAGAAAACAGGTGAAGGGGAGTAAGAGGTAGAAACTTCCAGTTATAAAATAAAAAGGTTATGGGTATGAGAAGTACAGCATAGGGAACAAGAGTCAACAATACTGGAAAAACTCTGTATGGTGATAGGCTGTAACCACGCTTACAGTGGTGAGCTTTTTGTAATGTATGTAATTGTCAATTCACTATATTGTATGCCTGAAAGTAATACAAATTCATATGTCAACTATATTTCAATTAAAAATTTTAGAAGTCTTTTAAGGGGCGTCTGTGTGGCTCAGTCAGTTAAGCGCTCAACTCTTCATTTCAGCTCAGGTCATGATCTCACGGTTCATGGGTTCAAGCCCTGCAATGAGCTCTGTGATGACAATGCAGAGCCTGTTTGGGATTCTCTCTCTCTGTTCCTCCCCTGCTCACTCTCTCTCTCAAAAATAAATAATTTTTTTTAAAAAATCTTTTAAATATACCATTCTGGTAAATGATGTTGATGACAGGGGAGGCTATTTATGCATAAGTTAGGGCAGGGAACAAATGGGAAATCTCCATATTTCCTCTCAATTTTGTTGTAATCCTAAAGCTGCTCTAAGAAAAAAAAATCCTTACCAAAAAAAAACCCTGCCAACTAGAATCCAGTATCTAGCAAAAACATGACTGGAAATTAAAAACATTAATGAAATCATGGATCTAGGTGACAATCAATACTTACTAACATAATAAAACAGATATAACCAGATAATTA